GATTTATCTTTCGGAAAAAGTAACCCTAATTCGGAAATAGGTTTTAAGGAAAAACGTAAAAGTACAGGCCAAAAATGTTAAAAAGAACAAAGTTTAGGGTAAGATGTTTAATAGAAATTTTCTTCTTTGGAGCCTAGAGTTTTATTGAATTGCAATACTCGTCGAGTATAACATGGCAACATTGGCAAGCAAATATTATTTTGTTCGAAGATGCCTTCGTTGTCGTTAAGTTCTCTCATTATAAACTTAAGATTGTTCGACTTCACTATAACTTTGTATATGCGTCTCTATTCTTGTGTTTAATAGTTACTCGAAATAAAGCTAATATGGCCCTATTTTCACAAAATAATATTTCGGACCCTCCTTGCTAGTTTGTGGCCTTTATAATATCAAGGCCGGCTCTGAGTACGAGTACATCATCCACATGAAGTTTTACAAGATCTCTCAGCTTCTTTGCAGCTACTTGAAGGTCATTCAAATACTCAAATTTCTCCATTCATCCAAAAAGGCAAAATACAAAACAGAAACAGAGCAGAGCAGAATTCAAGGTTATAAAGAATAGACATAGAACAAGAAGGCCCAAAACGGAAGTCTTCGTGGGATATTTTCTTGCGGACCTTTTTTGGATATGATTCTGTCATTGTCACCGACTCATGCATGTATGGCTAAAACTTAATATGCTAATATTATTTACTTTCTTAGTTTAATAGCCATCCATAGTTGAATAGTCCTGAATGTCTTTTTTCAAAAACTACAACAACTTCAAAAGAAACCAATTCAATAGGTGAAAGGTTAGCTTATTAACTAAATAAAGTCTCTCTCTATTTTTTTTCTTTCCGGTACCTCCTTCGTCTTCAAGTCAATGGCAGGGGATATCGGTTGATTTTCCTCCTTCATCACTTACTTGGTCTCGGGTACGTTTCCATTCCAAGAAACTCGTGGAGTCTTTGGCTTAATCAAATTTTTGTTAAATCATATTGTGTATTTGCAGTGATGTCGTCGAGGAGCTTTACAATAGAGAACAAATGCGAATACACTACATCTACGACTACTTGGGGTTGCTCGAAACAAGCAGTCTCATTCTTGAAAATTTAGAATATTGTAGCAAAAATCTATCATTTAGAAAAGTGTAGCAAAACTCCATAATTTAAAATTTTAACTATAAACATCTTCAGGATGTGGCGGTATAGTGATATTAAATCTAGGACCAAGAGCGTAAACTTTTCGATCTTATTGTGTGTAAACTTTTTGCATGAACCACTTGGTCATTTGAATTTCGGTTTG